TCGAGTGCAATGCGAATGCCAGGCATATCAGTGTTTATTCGGTAGTGATTATTTTTTCAATGAATTTCAGGATTTTCGCTGAATACGCACCGATTTCAGTGGAAATGCTTGATGAGGGTAGTTGTAATGTAATTTGGAATGATGTTTATGTCGTTGGCAAGGTCAGTGTTTTCATTTTATTCTTTACTTGTTCATTTTTGGATGAGGTGAATGATTTCATTTTGAGAGGGGAGAGAGGAATTTCAGTGTTGTTTGAAGTGGGACGTGAGCATATTATGGCTCATTCGTGAAATATGATATTGAATTGAGTATCAATTTGCCATGTGTAACACTTTGAAGTAGTCATAGCCGTATACCAAAATAACTTTGTGAAGTTTTTCGACAAATAACTGTTAAAAGTCTGATCGTTTTTTAGCGAATATTTATCATATTATATTTTGTTTTCATTGTCAAGCGCACAACATCATCTCAATTGATAATGAATGATGATGAGCAATTTATAGTTTACACTTCTTCTGAAATAAAAAAGCGAAAATTTTAAATGATTTGTTTATCGGTATTTTATGCGAAATCTGACGGCTGGTGTGAACGCAGTTGATTTATTTTTATTGCATCTGCAAAAAAATAAATGCGTCTTTTTTTGATCTATTCAAATCGCACTGAAGAGTTATGACTTTACAATTGATAAAATCTTTGGTGGTTCAGTTGAATCGCTTTTTTTGGCTGCCCGTTTTTTAATGGTAGAAAATTTATGAATGACCTTTGCCAGTGTAATAATATTCGTTTTAAAATGCACGCAAAGGACGCGAAATGCTGCTGAGCGTATACTGTGAAGATAGGGAACAATTTTCGGAAATCTGATAATCTGACAACCGACTCTCAGTTTTTTTCGTGTTGATACGTTCCGATGTCAAAACTTGCCATATGCTATCTTCGGAATGAATTAGAGCAATATTCGAATGGGAAATGAATAGTTTTTTTCCAAAATGAGAATCAAACCACTCTAGATGATACTGGAAATGACGAAAGCACTGAAACGAATACGTCGAGGTCGGGTGATTGAGGAGGGTGAGGTAGCTGAAGGTAGCGATGAGGAGGAAGGCGAGATGAAAGAGGAACAAGGCGATGAGGTCACCATTCAGAGCAACACTCCAGATGGTTTGTTGAAACGTTCATTGATTTGTTTGCTCGTTTATTTAGTTCAACATTGGTTTACTTCATTATTTATTTATTTATTTCTGTTAGAAGAGTTAAAATCTGCAATCCACGCTAAGGGATTAGTATTGGATGTACTTGAGTGAGTGTTTATTGATGTTGTTTTAAAATCGACTTGTAAACATCGAAGATGTGTGAACTCATACTTCAACATTAAAAATTTTGATTTATGAAGGTCTTTCGTCTCATATTGTAAAAATTCCGTGATGTTTTACCGACTACGAGTGAGACTTGAATCATCGAATGATTTTGAACAAATTGTCATTTCTTACGTGTAAACATCTCTTTTGTTCTGTTGACTTTATGCTTTTTCGTTTGTTTGTTTACTTTATTGCTTCTTTACTGACCTTTCCACACGATCAGATCAGCCCATTCTTGAACTGTTTGCAGATATTACAGGAAGGATCGAATTTTTGAACAGTTATTGCAAATTTTGTTGCAGAAAAGTTTATTGTTTTGTATGTGAAGGTTTGAGAGTTTTATATCACCACAACCATAGGTTCAAGTGGGTTGAAGAAACAGCTCGAATTGATACCGATTGTGAGTAGGTATTGTTTGAAAGAGCGGAGATTTATTTGCATAGAAGATAAGAGAGGATAAAGGTAATCCTAGAGGATCGCCGAACTCAAAGAAAACCTTTGAAGTACTGTGCTTATGAATGATTTTGGTAGTTGTTGCAATATTTTCATAACCTTCTAAAGCTAGTTTTTCAAGTCTGTTAGAATTGAACATGGATGAAAAGCGATCTCAAATGGTACTAAGTTAGTGTGGACAAGTTCTTTTGAGAAACAAATATTGCATCATACGACTGCATCAGATGCATTTTTCTTAAGGATTTCAGTTTGAGCTGTAACTTGTAGGTGAGGAATTCAAATGTAACGTTTGTATGGCACAATTTTATGAATAATAACTGTAAACAATCACTTAATGTCTTCGTATTCCTTAAACACTACTGTCATATACAACCCAGTAAATGTCATTCAAATTCTGTGAATGTAAGTGTTTGTTTATTAATATTTATGTTCGTATTGTTATGGTATTGTATTCATCCATACATTCATATGTGAAGTGGTATTGTATAATATCAGGCTCGGTGCTCTTAGGCGATTATTTTACATTTACTTCATTGTCATCAATCCAAGTAAACAGCAGATCGGCACTAATCTCAAAACAAGTTACCTTACCTATCCGAGCGTCTGTATATTAGATCAACAAAACATGCGTATCATATTTCACTCGAATTCAGCTGGCAATAATGAATTGCGTTATCAGTAGGGTTCGTTGGGGGTCGGAATGATTTGTATGTATGGTGTGAAGATATGATGCAAGACATTGTAAAATGGGAAACCTGCTTCGAAGTAGAAGTTGTCGATGCGGAGTAGTGATCGTAGAATGGTTGATAAATACAAGTGTGAAGTGGCTGGCGATAATGATGATAATTATCAGTTATAAAGTTAATTGAAGATTGCTTTCTCCAGTAATGAGGGATGGGATTGATTTCGCTTTNTTTTTTTTTTTTTTTTGAGAATAAATTTGATTTATTTCTATTGAGCGTTTAGATGATTCAATAAGCAGATATTCAGTTCATTCGTTTTTAGTCAACTCGAATGGATGCCTTTCATTTGTTTCGTTTTCGAAAACGTTGATGTTAATCAGTGATTATGAGTGATTGACTGGAAATCGCAATTGTCTGGTGTTTTAATCGCAAATGAAACTGCTTCAACACCGGAAGCCAAGCAATTTCGAAAGTCTTCGAGAAAATCTGTCAAGAAAACGTCAAAACAGCGCTCATATTCCCATATGGTTGCACTCATTCCTGCGTGATTGACTTAATGCTACACAGTACGATTTCGGTTGTGAATAAGCACCGATTCATACGGAAAACCTTTCGTGAGCACATCAAAACTCAGTAATAAAGTGAATTGAATGATGCAATCGGGAAATACGTAAATGAGTGTTATTTGCAAACAACTGTGATTTTATTGTGTGATTGACTTGCACTAAGCGACTGGATTAGGTCCCGAAATGAAATTATAGTCAGTTTTCCTTTAAGATCTTCTGTGTTTCTTTTAATGATGGTGCAAAATTAGTTCACTGATAGAGCAAACATATTTGTGGTGTTTGAAAGTCATCATTTGAAATAGTATCTTTGTTATTAGTCCAAAGGAAGCTGAAGATTGATTATTGTTGCAGGCAAATGGCGAGTTATCACGAAGCATGTTGGTCAAAGTCGCTTGCTTATATTAAGATTCAGCACGAGAGAAGAGTTGAAAAGGGTGATTAATTTGAGCATTAAGAATACTTCAGTTATTGAAGATGCCTTTAAACAATCGGAAAAATTCATTCATTTATTGAGAATTTTTCATCAGCTGAGGAATTTAGAAATGAAGTTTAATATTGAGTTGTTTTTCGCTCATCATAATCAATCCAATGTCGACTTGCAATGAGGAATTTTTAAATAGTTTTTGCTATGTTCTTAGGTGGTGGTCAATAGCCATTTAGTCTATCGCGTGTGCCCCAATGAAAATTTTGGAATACTTATTTTGAATGCAATATCGCTAAATTGTTGTTCTATTCTTTTATTTAGATGGTTTTTATCGATTGACGTTAGTTGAGAATTAATTTCAGGGTCGTTCTAAACCAAATGTTCGTATGATTAAATCAGAATCGAAAGATGTAATCGATAGGGGTTCGTGTTTATTTTATATTGCATGTTTATTTGAAGCATTTCGAGTGATGGTGTTGAATCACTGCGATGTGTTGAAATTAATGGAGTGTTCGTGATCTTAGAGCATCATATTCTAACATTGTTTTTCTCGGTTGCTTGTGGACAATTCTTAATTTCATGAGGTCTTCGGTCATTAAGCCTTATCGTTGATTTGGTCGACTTATAAAGTTTCATTTGATTGATTCAATAAGTTGAAATTGACTGTTCGTGAAGCATACTGTTTGAGCGAAGTTGTGTGATTTACATCCTTATTCTAAGAGCTCATAATCAACAAATATATGATTTGGCAGTAATGCAACATTGTGTTGGCTGTTAAGTGGCATGTTTAATTAAGCTAATGTAAGTGAAATTCATCGTAAACAGGTACTAAAGTATCCAATAAAACGACCTCGTATTCCCATTGCTACACTGGTTGCAATCTCATTTTCTGAACAGTTTATGTATGCTATAAAAGACTGCGCGGAGCTTTTATGTTATCGTTAAAATGTTGCAAATGTGTATAACATTTACGATGGATTATTTCGATTCATTTAGAAGAACTCAGCTCGTAATCCCGTTTGTAGTTAAAACGATTCTGTTTCACCTCATTGTTGACCTGTGGCGTCTTTATGCTCTTACCGACCACCGCTAAAACGCTCGCTCATATCACACTAGTGTGTTGTGGGGATCGGGGTATTCTGCTCACCTCGTTCCCGACATTTTTCGAGCCAATTGCGTTTTCGAGGTCCCTAACTGCAAAAAAAAAGAATTTTGTCTGAATTCTGATATGGTGAATCGATCAAACTGGAAATTGGATTGTGCCTAAGGAGTAAAATGGATTTACGGTCATTCGAATAGCAGATGTTAGAGGGAGGAAAAGTGGATTTTGTGTGAATGGGGAGTTGAAAGTAGTGGATGGATGGATTGAGCAGGGATTGGAATGCAAAGCCTTGTTTGAATGTGCTTTTGGTTAGCGTGTTTCGTGAACATTAAACGGCGTTAACGTGTGCTTATTGCTTTACAGACGGATTTTCGTACAAATGGACGAATCAAAAGAATAGAGTCCGACCCGGTTTGAATATTTTCAACAAAGATGGTGATGAGTTGGAATGGGACTACGAGCATGATACGAGGTTTGTATATGTGTTGAGTTCGTATCCAAATGATTATCTTCGAAAGAAGAATTGATTTGGAGTGAGCATCACCATGAGTGATCTGAGCTTGGAAAAACATTGATAGAAGTATTGTCTTCATGTTACATCAAAATTTTTGAAGTCGTGGATCAAATTAATTGTGAAATTTCTTTTTTCGTAGTATGTGAGAAGAACGCAATCGAATTCCATAAAATATAGGAACTGAAGTCAGCAGTAGTTAATGGTACATGTCGATCGTGTTAGTTTTGAAATATTAGTCAGAAATGATACTGCGAAACAATTTCAGGTTCTACGTTGACTTGGACGTACCTGAGAAGACTCCACCAATACCAACGTTTACTTCACCACTGAAGCAACAGTCGCAAAAGATGGCCGAAAAGTCTGCCGAGGAGGATAAAACCGATAGCATACTAGGAAAACGAGCCGTAAAAACTAAAGGTCGAGGATCAAAACGTTTCAAGGCATTAGGTTTAGGAGGTTCTATGGCTGCTGATGACGAAGAGAAATGGTAAGGATTCTATTGATCAATGAGTCCGATAGATGTTCTCATGCAATCGAAGTAGTAACTGTGTTTTATTTTCAGTCAAGAAGAACGAAAACGTTTCTCAGCGATGCATTACCACGATATGGATGACGAGAGTGAAGATGATTTGGAGAGCGATTTGGATTCGGATCGTGATCCTAGCCCTACACCACAGCCTTGGGATAAAGTGAAATCCAGTGGTCTACGATCACGTATCACAAGACCAAGCAGCACTGTACCTAGACGAGATTATTGATGCATATTAAGAAATTGTGTTTTGTGAAGTTGAAATTGTATTCAGAAGCGTATATTGAGGAGGTTCATTTAAAAAATCCCGTGGGAGATTGATTATTGCATGGCAAACGAACGCGGTTGAGTTATTGAGTGGTTGGTTTTGAAAAGGGCAGCCAGAAGTTGTTTGTCAAAAATGAACAATTATAGATTAGGAAGGGAATGCTTCGCAGCAGCGATCCGGAACGATTGATTGATGATATATGGTACTTGTTAACGTTTCAGTGCAGTGCATCCTCTGTTATTAATTTCAATGGAAATGCGTATAAAACACTTGATGATATTTCTTTAGAAATTCTCCACGTTCCAATATTTGAAAATTGTTTGCAAATGTTGGATTTTCTTCTGTTAATTTATTGCATGCGGTTCGTTTCTCACTTTTTTTCATTTCTCTCTGACGATTTATTCGCATTCTATCAACAAGATTTATTTTATTCACTCACGTTTTCAATGGATGTCTCCACAGCTGCTTATGTGTTTTGTTTGGTTATTTTTTTCACATTCATTGTATAATTTTACAAGTTATACTGCTGCTATCAACATTGTTCAGTGCGGAGTCCATTCAGGGCCTATAATGCTAATGTTTCTGTTGTGTTATTACCGTACTCTGCTGTCCCTTTTCTGTTTTTGAGCAATCAGTCTTGAACTAAATCTTCTGAAC